GATACGTCATGTAACAAGGTTTTAAAAATAATTTCAAAACCAACTCTTCCCCAGAGATTTAAGACAGGCATGCAACCATAGGCAGCTTTTTTTTTTTTTCTTTTTGTAGAAACCAAAGTGACTATACAAGCAAGTACAACGTTAGGTCATACCTTACTCATGGTTAAACTAAGGAAAAAGTGAACTGGGAACCAAAAAGAAGTGGGTGAGTCACACTTAATAAAAATGGAACCGTGAATGTTTGGGGACTAAGTTAGCCCATCAATAGGAAAGTTCCACTTGCTGCTAACTGGTGGTCCTATTTTGGTACAGCAAGCACAATAAGTCTGATGCCCTTCTGTGGCACCATTTATTTCCTGAATGGCCCATTCACTCAATATGGCCTCCTTCCTGTTCTCTAAATTATTTTCTGGTCTTGTTACCCTTCAAACCCGCAGGGACACACAAGGATTTTAGAGATGTTCCAAGTTTGGGTTAAATGCATGCAATCCTGGGTCAGTGACTTCATGTCTTAGAGTGAAAGGTCTTTAGAAAAGAATCTGGTTGCAGGAAGGGTGGTGCCCAGGGCACTTTTTTTGAGTTCCTGTTTGCATAAGAGCACACTCAAAAAACACACACAACTTAGGTGATGCCCCAGCCGGTTTGGCTCAGTGGATAGAGCGTCGGCCTGCGAACTGAAGGGTCCCGGGTTCAATTCTGGTCAAGGGCACATGTCTGTGTTGCCTGCTGGATCCCCAGCTGGGGGTGTGCAGGAGGCAGCTGATCAATGATTCTCTCACCATGGATGTTTCTATCTCTCTCTCCCTCTCCCTTCCTCTCTGGGATCAATAAAAATATATTCTGAAAAAAGCTGTGGTACATTCATACAATGGAATACTATGCAGCTGTAAAAAAGGATCTCTTACCCTTTGAGACAGCATGGAGGGACGGAGAATATTATGGTAAGCGAAATATATCAGTCAGAGAAAGACAAATACCATACCATCTCACTAATATGTGGAATCTAATGAACAAAAGAAACTGATGAACAAAATAGATTCAGAGGCATAGGAGCATGGAACAGACTGTCAAATCTCAGAGGGAAGGGGTGTGGGGTGGGAAGAGATTAATCAATGAACTTACATACATATATTTAGAACCCATAGACACAGACAATAGTGCCGTTAAGGTCTGGGGGGCGGTGTTGGGTTGGCTGGGGTCAATGGAGAGGAAAGGGACACCTGTGATACTTTCAATGATAAAAACACATTTAAAAAAAAGGACCCCTAGCCGGTTTGGTTCAGTGGATAGAGCGTTGGCCTGCGAACTGAAGGGTCCCAGGTTCGATTCCCATCAGGGGCACATGCCCCGGTTGTGGTCTCATCCCCAGTGGGGGACTTGCAGGAGGCAGCCGAACCACGATTCTCTCTCATCACTGATGTTTCTGTCTCTCTCTCCCTCTTCCTCTCTGAAATCAATAAAAATATATTTTAAAAAATAAAATAAAATAAAAAGACGAGTAATATGGAACTCCTAGAGAAATCTCTGGTAGAGTAGGCCATGTTGCCCTCCAGACCTTCTGCTTGGTTTATACGGTATTTTGTTATATAATTTTGTATATAATTTTTATTTGGAACAGAGTGTCTCCAAAAATGTATACACACTTCAACAGCTGATGGCTGGATTTTGAAAGTGAAATCTACTTTAATAAACACGGCCTTTATAGTCACTCAAAGCGTGCGTATACATTTTGGGGGGACACCCTAAGGATGTGGCCGTCATGGGGATGCCGTTCAGGTGACCCTTCGAGAGGCCAATAAGCATAAGAAAAGATGCTCCAAATCCTGGGAGAAACGCAAATCAAACCTCCAAGGCGATGCCCCCTTGCGCCCATCGGGAAACCTCACGGTAACAAATTCCCACGCGACTCTCCGGTTTGGCTTGTGTGAAACGGGAACTTATCACATTTAGGGGTTAGGGAAACGCTGGGGAAACGTACCAAATTTCACTCGAACCAGCACAGGCATTTCCCGAAGAAGCCATAATATAAAGTTGAAACCATATTTACTGGTCAAAGGGAGTCTAAAAATAAACTCGTCTGGCGCTGACGGAGCTCTAAGCGGCGTGTAGAAAGCCCGCGGCTCTCACACGCATACCTGCAGATTCGATAGTCTTCAACTCAACGGTGCAACTGAACAGGTCTTGTCTTCGTGGGAAAAAATATTATAAATTTCATTCTGCTCGTAAATAATACCCCTTCGATGCTCAACACAAGGGATTACATTTTTTTTCCTAACAAAAGCAAAAGCGGAAACGGCGCCCGTGACGAATCTGCTGTTGCCAATGTAAAGGCCCGGTCGGAGGCGGCACCAAGAATCTTCCATCCTTAGGAACCCGGCGCCGGTGTCCGCGGGAGAGGGAGCCCGAGCCTGGGTGAGGTGAGTGGGAGCGGCGCGGCGGGAGCGACGCCCACCTGGCGGGAAGGACTTAGTTAATTCCGCCTGGACGGCCTGTCCGCGCGCGTGTGGGCCGCCATGTTGGAACCTGGCAAAGGGGGAGATCTTTCGGGGTTGTGTTTAGAGGAGCTGGGGCGATAGCTGGGTTGGAAAGACTGGCCTTTCCTCTCTACGTCCACCCGGAAGGTGAGGGGCCGACGGCCAAGGCGGAGGCGCTTCGGGGTTTGAGGGGTACAGGCCTTTCCAGGGACACTTCCGCCTTAGCGTCTGCGTGCCACTGCGCATGCTCGGCGCCATTGCGCATGCTCGGAAGGACTGGGCATGCTTGGAAGGACTGCGGGTCCCGCCTTAAGCCCACCTGGGTGGAAAGCGCGGGAATGTCGTGCTTTTATTTTATTTTATTTTTTAAGTTTTATAGTTTTCTGTTTTACATTAAATCTATTTTATTTTTTTTAATATATTTTATTGATTTTTTACAGAGAGGAAGGGAGAGGGATAGAGAGTTAGAAACATCCATGAGAGAGAAACATCGATCAGCTGCCTCCTGCACGCCCCCTACTGGGGATGTGCCCGCAACCAAGGCACATGCCTTGACCGGAATCGAACCTGGGACTCTTCAGTCCACAGGCCGTCGCTCTAACCACTGAGCCAAGCTGGTCAGGGCAGGAATGTAGTGCTTTTAGACTCAGGACAGAAGTGCTTTGATTGCTTAATAATAACTTTATTTGCATAATAATTTATAATTGTAAAGCAGTTTCAGAGATACTTATCTAACCTTTGCCGGTGAAGTGACGTTTAGCTACATTTTATGGATGATTTACGTTTTGCCCAACATAGGATGGGGTCTTAAACCTGGGTGTTCCTGATTCCCAGTCTCATGCTCTTTTTTCACGTTCCAGGCTTTTCTCTCTAATGGTTAACTGCCCCACCCACCTCCACAGGACACCATTCATCTCTCACGTCCCATCCCCATTTGTGAAATAATGACGAATCCAGAACTCCTGAGGGTCCTAAGACCGAGATGAAGTGAGACAGACCTTAGACTGAAAAGCGTTTAGTCTGGGTTGGGGACAAAAAAAGTGATGAGTCTGACAGAGAAGCTAGATGAGCTGTGGGAGAGGCACATTTTGCTTCAAGGGGTGGAGGCTGGGAGCGGGACTTGGAAAGGCCAGTAGAATGTCCGCAGTGGAGATGTGGGAGGCAGAAAGGAAGAGAATATTCCCAGCAGAGGAAATTGCATCGAGAGAGGCATGGGGCTGGGGAACTCGGGCACATTCAAGGCACGAGGCGCAATCCCGGATAGAATAGGTTTTGCAGTGGAATATGGTGATAGGCTACCCGAGGGTCAGAGGGCTTGAGTCTGTTGAGTTCGGATTTTCTTCTGAGGGTGTTTGGCTTTTTATTGGGGGGAAATTCCACAGTGTACCTGCCAAACAATCACTCTTCCTACATAATCCATGAACTGAAGAAGAAGAAAAGCAAAAAGATTCTGGAGGGAAATGTGAGAAGGGGGGGACATTATAGGTATCATCTTAGCTAGTATGATGGGAAGGTGCTGTTAGCCAAGAGCCCTGGGTTTTAAGCAGCATATTTCAGCATTGGCTCTGAAGACTTACAGAGGTGGGCACATGGTTATCAGCAGCGTCTGAAACGTTGGCAAGCACTATATTATTCCAGCAGGTTCACATGAATCAATGATCGGGTGTCAGACTTGCATTTCCCCACCTGCTTTCGAAAACAACAGTCATATATTGGGGTGAATGACAATTGCAGTGTGCTTGCTGGACTAAAATGATCATTGCAGCCACTTGTGCTCCAAGGCATAAGCAGGTTATCAGCTAGGAAGCTGGGAAGAAATCTCCTATTCCTTTGAACCGAAGAGCCCACTGCTGGGTGACTGCTGTTTTAGCTTTGCTATCTGTGCACTGACAGATGCGAAATGCTGCATTCCAAGCACCATTTTCCCTTGTAGTTTGGCTTTTGAAAAAGCCCTTATCTTGTAGTGACGCAGATGAGTGATGTAAATGTCTAGAATTTGCTTCAGAATCATCGGGGAGTGGTGATGTGAGTGGAAGCATAGAGCAAACAAGACCGGCCCCATGTTGGTCATAGTAGCAGCCAGGCAAGGAATTTGTGGAAAATTATGCCATGCTCTACATTGGTATATTTGGAATTCTTGGTAGTAGAGTTAAAAAAAATTTTTTTAGATGTTTCTTACTGATTTTAGAGAGAGAAGAAGAGAGAGGGAGAAACATCAGGTGAGAGAGAAACATCTAGCAGCTGCCTCCTGCACACCCCTGACAGGTAAATTGAACCAGTGACCTCTCAGTGCATGTTCTGATGCTCAGCCAACTGAGCCACACTGGCCAGGGACTTGGTAGTAAAGTTTTTTAAAATGACATGTCTGTAGCGGTTCCCAGGGTGGTTTTCTTGACCATTTTAAAGTCTCTAAAAGGTGAGCCTGGCTTCTGAGCCTCGGTTTTGATTCATTCTCTACATTACAGTTAGTTCCTGGAGTTAGTAAGTTCCCTATGGTGGTTAAGCTGGAGGATAGATAATACATATCTCAAACTCAGGTGAGGTTGCCCTCTGCCTCCTCCTGGGAGGGGTGGTGGGGGGAGTGTAGGGGAGAGCATCTCGGAGCCCCACTGCCTGGCTCTGATGCGGTCGCCCCCACTTTCTAGCGGGGAGGCCTCAGCCTCTGGGAATCCACTCCCTTCCCTATTAAAGAAGGGGTGAATGATGGTGTCTGCTTCAGGGGGCTGTTGTAAGGATCAAACGAGTAGCGCACAGTGGGTGCTACATAAATGCTTGCTGTGGTCCTTCCTAGAACATGAACGATTGGATGCCCATCGCCAAGGAGTATGACCCCCTTAAAGCTGGCAGCATTGACGGCACGGATGAGGACCCCCACGACCGCGCCGTCTGGAGGGCAATGCTGGCGCAGTACACCCCCAACAAAGGCGTCACGGGGGACCCCCTCCTCACCCTGTTTGTGGCCAGACTAAACTTGCAGACCAAAGAGGAGAAGTTAAAGGAGGTGTTTTCCCGCTACGGGGACATCCGGCGGCTTCGGCTGGTGCGGGACCTGGTCACGGGCTTCTCCAAGGGCTATGCTTTCATCGAGTACAAGGAGGAGCGCTCCCTGCTCAGAGCCTACCGGGACGCTGACGGCCTGGTCATCGACCAGCATGAGATATTCGTGGACTACGAACTGGAAAGGACTCTCAAAGGGTGGATCCCTCGGCGGCTGGGAGGAGGCCTGGGGGGGAAAAAGGAATCTGGGCAGCTGAGATTTGGGGGGCGGGATCGGCCTTTCCGAAAACCCATTAATTTGCCCGTTATTAAAAGCGATCAGTATAGAGAGGGAAAAAGGGAGAAGAGGGAGCGATCCCGATCCCGAGAAAGACACTGGGAGTCCAGGACAAGGGAGCGGGACCATGACCGGGGCAGGGAGAAGAGGCGGCAGGAAAGAGAGCCGGCCAGGGCGTGGCCTGGAAATGACTGGGAGCGAGAGAGGGACTTCAGAGACGACAGGGCCAAGGGGAGGGAGAGGAGGGACAGAAGTAAGTAGAGGCTCAGCACCTCCGCCAGCAGAGCCCAAAAGAAGGTAGAACAGAAGTAAAAGCACAGAGAGGTCTGCATTGCCTTTATACAAAGGGTAACCAGTGCCAAATGAAGCTCCCTGATGATGCTCTGGCTCAGGTGGCCCAGTCAGTTGGGCGTCGTCCGTGCACTGAAAGGTGCTGGTTTGAATCCTGGTCAGGTCACATGTCCGGGGTGATCGATGTTTTGCTCTCACATCGATGTTTCTCTTTCTCCCTCCCTTTCTCTCTAAAAAATCAATTAAATATTTAAGAACAAACAAACTTACTGATGATAAGGCAGTTTGGGCAAGTTTCCTTTCTAATCTGAAACCCAGGTTCAAGCTGAACACACTGATGTCATGAATGTCTCTTCGTCTTAGAGTTCTGAGGGCACGTTATTTAATAAGCTTTGAGAAATAACTCTGTACCAAAGGGTGTGTGCAAGGAGCCACCAGTCTTTCGTTCAGCAATAGGGGATTGGTTTTGAGAATTTATTTTCTCCCATCTATTAGAAATGATCATTTGAGGGCCTGGCAAAAAGAGGTGATGGCCCAAAATCATTTGTATTGACCTGTGACTCCTGGGAACCCGGATCTGGTCAGAATATGTTGTAACTTTTCCATCCTTATGTCTATAATACAAGGAGTTGCTGAATTGAAATAAAAATGGGATAGAAAAGTGAATCTGAGGAAAATTTCCAGAGACTTAATACCACATCACTCCTTCCTGCCAAAACAACCCAGCAGCCCCTGACCCCTGGCCCTGTGTCCTTTTCACTGAATGTGGTAAAAGTCTCAGCAATGACAAGCAAAGATTCCCCACCCCCTCTAGTCAGTGGAAGAAGACCTGAGGGGTCATCACCCCCGCCCGGCCATACCTGAAGGTGTCGTCCAGGCAAGCCCTGGGGTCTCCACCGACAGTGAGGAGGTCTCCTAGGCTCTTGAGGAAGAAGAGCAGAGAGGTCAGAGGCCCGCGGGGGCACCCAGGCACAGGCCGTCGGCCAGAAATAGGGGCCAGGCCTATGGGCCACCCAGAAGCCACCTGGGGAGGCAGGAGAGACTGGAAAAGCCCTGCCCCTGCCTCCCTGTGCCCCTGAGGGCGGAGGCGCTGCATTGCCCTGTGCCTCTTCCTAACCAGCTCTGGGTCAGGAGGTTTGCCCAGGTGGAGACCCAAAAGAGGGCCAAGTGGGGTAGGGAGCGCCTCCTCTCTCACAGTGGACGTACCATTTCCCAGGGGCCTCGTCCAGACTCTCCCTGTCTTGCAATAACCAGGCTCTGAGGCTGGCACCCTCCCTCCAACCCCCCACCACAGGCAGAACACAGAGGGTGTTTAGGGCAGTGAAACTACTCTGTGTGGTACCTTATAGTGGGTACATACAATTAGACATTTGTCCAAACCCGTAGACTGTACAACCCCAAAAGTGAACCCTGATGTGCATTACAGACTTCGGGTGACAGTGATATGTAGGTTCATTGATTGTAACAAATGTCCCACTCTGCTGGGAGATGATAATGGGGAGGCGCTTGTAGGAGGCATATGGGAAATCTCTGTACCTTTCAAATTTGCTGTGAACTTAAAACTGCTCTAAAAAATGAAATCTTAAAACATATAATAGACAAAATATTTGAACAGATTCTTCACAAGACAAGATAGATGAATGGCCATACTGAGCAGATGAAAAGATGCTCAACATTGTGAGTCATCAGGGAAATACCTCAATTAAACCACCATGAGACACCGTTATGCATTCACTGGAATCACTAAATTAAAACGATTGCCAGTACCAAGTGCTGATAAGGATTTGGAATTCTCACACATTGCTAGTGGGAATGTCAAACAGTATAATCACTTTGAAAACGTTTTTTCTACAGCTAAACATACCTTCATTATTTTGTGTGTGTGTGTGTTTTAATCCTCACCCAAGGACATGCTTATAGAGAGGAAGGAAGGGCAGCGGGGGGCGGGGGGGGGGTGAGAGAGAGAGAACGTCGATCGGTTGCCTTTTGTATGTGCCCCAACCAGTGATTGAACCTGAAATCCAGGTATGTGCCCCGACTGGGAATCGAACCAGCAACCTTTCAGTGCACAGGACAGCAGTCAACTGCTGAGTCACTCTGGCCGGGCAGCCTTCATTATTAGACTCAGCAATTTATTTACCCACAAGAAATGAAAACATTGTCTACACAACAGCCTGTGCAGGAATGTTCACAGCAGTTTTATTCATGATGGCCAAGAATCAGAAACAGCTCAAATGTCCACCAGCAGGTAAATGGATAAGCAAATTGTGTCCTATCCATACAGTGGAATACTACTCAGAAACACAAAGGAATATATATTAATACATGCAACAACCTGCATGAATTTTTAAAACTTTATCGGGAGCAAAGCCAGGCACAAATGCATACATACAGCATGGATTTATGTCAAATTCAATATATAAGAGGCCAATCTGGGCTGTAGTGACAGAAAACAGGTCAGTGGTTGCTTGGGGCTGGGAAGGGGTGGGCTATTGATTGCAAAGGGAGATTTGGGGGTAATGTGAATGTTCTACCTTGATCGCAGTGTTTGGTGGTTTCGTGAGTGGATAAATCTGTCAAAACTCATCACATGTATACTTAATGTGGATACATTTTATTGTACACAAATTATACCTCAATAAAGTTGATTTTAATTTTATTTTTTATTGATTTTTAGAGAGAGAGAAACATCCATTTGTTGTTCCACTTATTTATGCATTCATTGGTTGATTCTTGTATGTGCCCTGACCGGGGATTGAACCCACAACTTTGGCCTATCAGGACGACACTCGAACCAACTGAGCTTCCAGCCAGAGACAATAAAGTTCATTTTAAAAAAATCAATTCTTCAGAAAATCCTTTTCTGACCATGCATGCCCCTCAAACTAGGTCAGCCCCACCTGCACCTCCACCCCCGGGGTGTGCACACCTTTCACAACCTGTATTTTTCTTCCACTGCATTTCCCTGAGTTTGTAGTTATGTTTTTATTGGTTTCCTGTTCGTTAACGGCCTCTAGGTGGGGAACACCAAGAGGCCCAGGATCCCATCTCTCTGGCTCACCACTGTTGCTAGGCACCTGGCACCATTCCTGCACACAGTAGGTGCTCATATAATAAGCACTCATTAAGTGAACAAACACAGGAGCTAGTAAATGGAGAGGAAGCAAAGGGACAAGCGGAAGCTCTGTCTGGGCTCCAGCCACCACTGTGGGGCTACAGCTCTGTGGACTGGATGACCTTGGGGCCCCTCCACGGGGGGCCCTGGCTCCGCTTGGGGAAGTTGAGTCTGTGCAATTCTTCGGAGATCTCCAGGAAGGTCTTGCCTTTGGTCTCAGGAAGGAAGAAGCCAGTGTAGATGGCCCCACAGACACAGACAACGAGGAAAGGCACATAGAGGAAGTAGGACAATCCCTCCTATAGGTTAAAAGAGACCCTGAGACCCAGTGTGGCTCTGTTCGGCCCCAGGACAGGTCTGCAAGAGGGACGTGTCTTTCTTTGCTTAGGTAAGCCCCATCCCCTTTAGTCTCAGTCTCCTCGGGTGGAGGCCTCCCACTGGGGTTTTCATGCGGACAGGGACCACACCTAAGGCAGCTCTCCCTGGGGGGAGGGGCAGGCCTACCATGATGAAGGGGAACCCCAGCCCAACCAGGAAGAGCATGATCCACATGAGCGCCCCGCAGACCATGTAGGCAGCAGGCCGGGCCATCTGGTCAAACAGCTCCGTGGCCAGGATCCCTGTCACTCCAGCTGAAAGGAGGGGAGGGACAGGGGCCTGCCAGCCAGGGAAAGTCCCCAGAGATGGCAGTGGGGGACCCCTTGGTGTTCTTCCGGAAGCTTCGGTGCAGGTGGGGGTGGGGCATGCAGGTGACATTGCATTCACATCCACCCGTCTCTCACCCAGGTGCCCATGTTCCTTCGGCAAGTCCCAAAGCCCAGAGCCCCTCGAGCCCACTCACCGGGGCCGATGCCAAAGCTGAGGATGAAGGCAAAGATGCAGGACATGGCCAGGTAGGGCATCCAGGGGAAGGAGCTCTGCAGCAGAGGGCCGGGGTGAGGTGGGGGTCAGCCGGCACCCCGCCGCCCTCCTCATCCCCGCCAGCTACCTGCAGGCACAGGGCCGCTGTGAAGATGCTCCCCCAGCAGGTCATCAGGCAGTACCCCCCAATCAGCAACACCCGCCGGCCTACCCTCTCAATGACCATACACTGCAAAGGAAAGGGGCCCTCAGCAACTGGCCTGGGACCCTGGGCCGTGGTCCCCTTGGTTTGGGGTGAGCAGGGGGGAGGGGCCTCATGAGGAAGCGGATGGTGGGGTAGGGAGCAGTTCATTGCTGCAGTTGATTAAGAAATTAATTTCCCACAGGCCACCCAACTTCATTGAGTTCCCTCATCTTAAAATCGCGGTTCGAGTGCCCAGCAAATAGTAGGTGCTCAATAAACGCTGGCGAACTCCCCGTATTTTAACAGAGTGACCTGGAGTGGGAAACGGCTTAAAGAAGAGGCCTGAAGCCCTCAGGGTGTCAGCACCCCAGATCCCCCCTCTTCCAGGGGCTGGGAGAGGCCAGCCCGGAGCCAGACTCACACTGATACACGCTGTGAGCAGCTCGCAGCACCCGGTCCCGATGATGGCATACTGGACCTTCTCCGGGGGCACTCCCGCCTCCCCGAACACGGAGGAAGCGTAGGCGTACATCTGGGGAGGCGGGCACAGGGCCGGCTCTGGGGCACGGGCTCCCTGCAGCCTCCCGCGGCTCCCAGGGGCCTGCAGCAGGCAGCCCGGAGGGAGGGGCAGGGGCGGGGC